CGAACCTGCAGGCATGCGACACACGGGTCAGGTCTCACAGAGGTTGAGTCCTTCTCCTCGCCCTGTTTTGGTGAAGCGGTCCCATCCGCCCTTGATTTTCCTACGGTGCTCTGGCCCACCTTTTTGACTCACTTCTGTGTGATCTACTAGGATCGACAATATGGCATTTTATCTGGAACAGACCTGCGTAGCAGGTGGGCAATACCGGCTAGGGGTCAGCGGGTAGCATCAAGACTGAGCTTCTTCGATGTGCCAGTCGCTGTGCCTCCCCTCAGGTCCCCTCCCCCTATGAGCATCAACGGTCTTTGCTCAATGCCACTCGGGCACGCTATCATGGGTCACACTCACCAATCAATACAATGTCATGCACAGAAGAGGAAAAATATGGCGGTGAATCTTTCCTCGCTCTACTACTCACTACATGCAAAAAAAAATAAAAAAATATGGTGTTTTATCTTTCCATGTTATGCGGAATATTCATTCTCATTTTGCACATTTGGTGAGCAGTGGAGCGCGGCCCTATGTTCCATGATCAGTGGCTGAAACGCAATTTACAGGTCTCACTGACACCCCGGGGCCAGGTCCCACTCACCCTAATTCTTCATTTGTGACCCTTGATTACGAAGATCAAAGGCCAGAAATGGAGAATCCAATCGAATGGGACTTTATGGAAATGAAATCCCTTTGCCTCCGTGTCTACTTCTTTTTTTTGTTTTTTATAAAAGAGGGCCCCTTGCGGATTCATTAGATCAAACAACAAAGGGCATACTCACACTAGCCCTTTTCTAAATGAATTTGACTGGAATCACATCAACGCCATGATGCATCTGACTCTGGTCACATTTAGAGCTTAGTACGAAAAAGGTTATGGTGTGAGTATACCCACATATGCTAACCCTTTTCGAAATGAATTTGACTGGAATCACATCAGCGCCAGGATGCATCTGACCGTGGTCACATCTAGAGCTTAGTACGAAAAAGGTCCTGGTGTGAGTATACCCACAGTGAGCTACCCGTCTTCACCCGAATAGAACGCCCGGTGATTATCGCCGTATCGGCGTATCTGGGCTGAAAGTTGATCCAAATACAGCTATATGTCTGCACTTGAACTCTGGTTTGTATTCCAAATACTTGTACTAACTGAGCTACCGTCTTCGCCCAAATAGAGCGCCCGTTAATTATGGTTGTATTTGCAGCAACTTCCAGTCCAGATGGCACGATAATGACCGTGCGTTCTATTCGGGTGAAGACTCTGTCTCTTTTTTTTTTTTTTTTTTTTTTGTCAAAGACTGTCTGGTAAGGGCATGATTTTCTATAACCGAGCATCGTTTTGACTCTCTGGCGCAGGCGGGCCGAGTTTGTCGAACGCTGGCTCGGTGCCTCGCTTGTTTTTTTTTTTTTTAGCTGGAAAAGCTGATTGCAGGAGCGTGAGGCCTGGTAGAGAGATCTAGGGATGCTTTGGGGTGGGCATTCGAAAGGACAACCAAGGGTTCCTGTTGGGACTACGCTGGCCGGCGTTGGGGCGAGTCGTGTTGCTCTGTAAGCTAGTCGGGTAGGGGTGTGAGGCCTGGGAAAGCTCTACACCGAATAGTGTTGGAAAGTTTTAAAGAGTTTTGTTTGTGTGGGACGCCCAACCTCACGCCCGACGCGACTTCCTGATCGGAGTGGGATGTGGGCTTGGAAGTGCGAAAAGGGGTGTGCCAAGGATTTTTGGGAAATTGGGGGTGGAGTTCGAGGTCGGAACTGAGATCTCATGTGGCAAGGTTCCAGGGGCATAGGTGCAATGAGGCTAAGGGCCGGGTCACTCTCAGGCTGGAGGCGGTAGATGTCATGCAGCAAAAGGCAGATGGCATGCGCGGTGCATCTTGGGCCGTCTGATCTGCCCGTTCCAGTGACGGCGGTTCGGGAGAGGTCCGTTCATGAGGGTTGCGATTTCTATGGGTCGGACCTCCGGGTGTGGACACGGGGCGATTGACGTCATGCGTTATGGTTAGGCTCCGTAGTTCCAGAGGCTCGGCGGTTGCCACGCCGTCTGCAATTTATGCACGTGTGGGGTCAATATGGGGCTATGGAATTCCACGGTACCACCGTGAGTTGGTGGTATGGGAGGAGGAGATGGAAGAGAGGGAAATTGGTAGCGATAACAACGAAGCCGGGGGGTATGAAATATTGCGTGTTATAAGTAGTCGGGTGGTCAGGGCCCCTCGGATCGCTGGTTATGGCGCGGTGAAAGTCCCTGGCACACAGTCGGTCATTCTCGGTTAGATAGGGGAATTCCGGGTTTCTCAAATTCCCCCGCAGCCTAAGCTGTTCTCCCTCGAGTCCCAGTATTCTCGGTACTCTGGGTCCTGCAATCTCTCCCGGTCCTCGATGTACGACATCTTATTATTCCGGCGAAAACGCTGTCATCGTCTGCGTGCAGGTTCTGCAGACACGCGTGTAGGCTTCGTCCCTTTCGGTCGGGTTTACACGTGTGTGCGCAAGACCTGTTTGCGACTATGCGCGCACCTGATCAATCTTTGTATGACAAGGGAGTTTCGGGTATGGTTGTGGAAATCCCTGCCGGCTCAGATCCTCGCAAGAGGGAAAATTCCACACTTATCCCGATACTGGAGGTGCCAAGTTCATCAGTGACCGCGAATCGCCCGCGTGTGGACACGTGTAGGCCACATTGCTCAGATCACGCTTACACGTGCGCACACGAGATGTTCGATCGTACGCGGGCCTGTTGGCTGACTTTCATGCAAAAGTGACTCAGAGGTTTCAGTCCTACATGCAAAATCGCCATGTGGCATAGATAATCACCCAATCATTTAATCATTCAGTGATCCCGCAAACAATCATTTCCAATCATGCAAAATGACATTGCACACATCAGACACCGCAACAACATCAAACTCTTATCGTGACGACCGCAGATCAAAGTGACAATCAACGATGATGATTAGGCAAAAATGCCAAGCATATCATTCCATCAGGACTTCGTCCATCCAATATACACAAAAGAGGAAGGATCAAGACTGAATAAGACACCATACAAGGGCCAATGTCAAGACAAAGATGTCGAAGGAAAATAGGGGCGAATTGCCCGAGCCGAAATCAAAACTTATGTACAAAAGCAAAGGAAAGGACAAAGAAAATTGCAACTCCACGTCCACCCATCTCAACTCTCCCTCTCTCTCTCTCTCTCGAAATCCGGACAGTCCGTCGTCACGCACCAACCCACAAAGTTGTCACCTCGCTTAGTCCTCCTGTGCCCGTCAGGGTCGCCCGCGCGCTACAGTCCGTCGTAGCCCCACACGTCAACACCCGCACATTCGGCACCAGCTCGTCGGGTCGCCCAACTCCCACTTCAACTCACCTCTTACTTCGCTCGTGAACCGACCCTCACTGATCGCGCTACCCCGAGATTCCAGCAACTGCTTAAGAGAGCTATCTAATCGCGCAACCGAAATTTATAGCGTGCATGCATGCTCGAAGAACATGGAATTGCAAGTACTTAGAAAGAGAGAAGGGGAAGGAGTGCCTACGTTCTGCATGGCCAGATCGCGGCGTGGGGGGCGTAGCCATTCTCCACGCATCGATCCGATTATGCAGGCTGCGGGCCAACTAGACACAACAAAGAAGAGAGAGGAAGGGAAAGACGAAGCTCAAGAAGAAAGATACAGTTACTAGGGCGCCCTGCCCAAAATTACAGTTACACGCAAGATTAAGGGCGTCGACTTATCAGAGCTCCGTTGCAGTCGCAAAAAGAAACGCGCGAGCAAAAAGCACCACGCGACAAAAAAAATTCCGAATTCCTTAATTCTTAAATTCCTACTTAACGCGAAAATGCAAAAAGAACTTTAATAAAGCACAAATCCCGAAAAGAAAGTCCGAAATTCCGAGAGCCATCGAGGGCTCGACAAGATTCGAAAAAAAAAATCAAAAAGAAAGAAGCAAAACCCCCGTGCAATCACCACGCCGAAATCCCGACAGCAGAACAAGAAAGAAGCGACGTGAACCATTATTTATCGCGCTTTCGTCGGCGCGCCAGCCATTCAATCGATCATCCCGGGACTTGCCCATCCCTGGCCCCAGCCATCCGAAAAGAAGTGACGTAAAAAGAAGAACAAACAAAGATACCGATACAATTTTCCCATTGGATCCCATCTCCCATAATTGGCCCAACCTTCCCAGCTTAGGACCCCTCATTGTCATCGCGCAGAAAATCGCGTTGAACAGGAATTGGCTCGTCACATATGTGACGCCCAGGGGGTTCCAATATTAAGCAAGCTCCTGCTTGCTTAGTCATCACGACACGTGTCGATCTCTCTAATCGATCGACATGCGGGGCTCTCTTGTTGCCACCTACCGTACGATAAGAGTGTGGAAATCAGTCAGGGTGGCATACATAGGCTCTATCCTACACGTTCCTCAGGAAGGGCTTTCTTCTTTCGAAGGAGGAGATCCTTCGTGCCATCGTCGTGACACGTGCCATACAACTGCGCATCAGTGACCAGCGGGAAGAGGAAAGGGGAGGCGGTACATGGGGACATGGGGAGGGGGGGGGTTGGTTCGGAGCGGGGGTAGGAAGCGTTCCATCCCCGCTATCGTTACCGGAAGCTCCAAGTAGCGGATGATTCGATGGAAGCGAGGGAAACAGGTGCCATTGTGGGGGAGAGACGCGGGATAGTCGGGGTAGAGGGTTGCGAAGGTGCGAAAGAGGGCTTTCTGGAACTGATCATGGTTTTCGCACGCGGGGATAGTCCTCGTGATCGTGCAATAAACCTCGATTATATTGTGGCCCCGCCACACGGCACTGAAGAGAAGGGCGTGGAGACAAAAGACAGGGGTGGCGCACCGAGTACAGGGGTGGGGGTGTACTGTGACAGCGAGGCGGGTAGCGTAAAAGTGACGGAAGGTGTCAGTTGGGAAGGGGTTGTGGGGGAAAGAGACCAGGCTGGTAATCCAACAAAGGGTGAGGTAATCAAGGGGACGATGGGATAACGACCGGGGACGAGGCTTGATGCCCCGCATCGGTACGTGTGCGAACTGGGGGACGGTTGGAGGGGGAGGGGGATCAGCTTCGTCGTCTCCGTGCCGGTGCGCTCGAAGTCTCGACAGCAGTGTCCTCATCGTCGATCCTGGGTGGCTCGGGATCCTTGGTCGGATCGTCCGGGATTGGTAGATCCGCGCCGCTCGCGTACTCCAGCGACTGCTTCCCGACTGCGATTTCCTCTCTCTGCCACACGACCACCTCATAATCTTCTTCCTGGACCTCCGCGCGGTCCACCTCCTCACCCAGACTCTCCCACTCAGATCCTTCCTCTTCCTCCTCCCGATCTTCTTCTTCTTCTTCCTCTTCTTCGCTCCCCGGCTTCTCTTCGTTCTGCTCGCTGTAGCTTCCTTCCTCCGGGGTTTCTTCCTCTTCGTCCTCTTCTTCTTCCTCCTCTACCGCTATCGCCTCGTCCTCAGACACCGCCCAGGGATGGAAGAAAAGGATGTCGATGATCCCCCGGGGATTCAGGTACTTCGATCGCGACGGGTAGCTGCCTCCTCCTCCTCTCTCCTCCAAACAGGCCGACCACTGCAGATACGGCGTCAACCTCCACAGAAGGACGTGCGGCACTGGGATTTCGTCGCACTGCGATATTATATTGAGGGGGAGATCGTTGATGAGCTGCACAAAGGGGACCGAGAGCTCCCACACAATCAACTGCCGATGGCCGGGTTCCACTGCTCTGAAAACGAACCTGAGGAGATCCCCTTCCACCTCCGTTCTCCAGGCCTGGATGATTAGCAGTTCCACGCTCTCTCTCACGGCGCGATGCTCACTGTTCCGCGTCCACGTCAGCTCCACTTCCACCAGACACAACGAAAGAGTGAGGTACCGCTCGCACCACGCCTCCCAATGTCTTGGTTCGATGAGAGGGACGACGAGTGGCTGGATACAAAAAGAAAGACGGGGATGGAGAGCAGACTGCCAGAAAGTGGGGAAGAGAGAGGGGAGGGCAAAGGTTGAGAACTGGGACCGGTTTATTGAGGGCGCAGAAAAGGGACGAGCTCTGGGAGCGCTAACGCCTGCTCGTGTCGGGACGTGCGGAGCCTGCCGACGTCGATGCTGTTGGTGACGACGAGGTTTTCGTCATGCCGCGCAAGCCACCTGTTCCACACCTGCGCTAACTGTTCACGGTTCACCCCACTCCCTTAGCGATGCCCGGATGGCCGTATGCCTTGTAGGATCCAGCGTGCTGATGTCCCCACTGAAGACGACGATGGTAGACACATGGCTGATCCATGGCGCCGAAAGTCGTCGATAAGCCGATGCCTCAGCCAACACGAGTGTCTGGCTATGGGCCGCAAAATGAAGTTTTGTCGCCGCGTACACCCTAGTGGTGCTGAAGAACTGCGCAAATCGGAGAAAATCCGGACTGATCCGTGGATGATGGACTTGGGTGATCGCTGAAATATCGCCACGTGGTGCCAGCATGTGCTCGCCAAGGACCTGTTCGGTGGAAAAACTCATGGCGATGGTGGCGAGGACGGAGTACAAGAAGGAGAAGGGGACAGAGAAAGAGGAGAGGGTGATACGCAGGCGTCGTCCTCTTCCGACTGGAGGAGGGGGAGAACGACGGTGGAGATGGAGAGGAAGGGAGAGGCCGCAGATAGGACACGTGGCGAGTGATCGGGCGAGCAGATTGGCCGCTAGAGACCTCAGGCACGAGCCGCACCGCGTTCACTCCGTTCGGACCGAGCTCGCCTACGTGAAATCGCCCGAAGAATCGTGGCGCTAGTGTATCCTGGCGAGCACATTTCCTTACCTACACGATGTCCCCTAACTTATACTAGGGCCTTGGTCCTGCATTCCCATTTCGGGCCTCGTAGTTATGGACCTGTCGGCCTTGGGCCAACTCAGTCATCCCGACTCATCCGTTGGCATTTTCGGGCTAATCGGGTAAGGGACCTCTCCATCAGTTCTAGGTGCCGCTTCGCCTTGTCCCGAACCGTGGCCCTCGTGGACCGTCGGTTCAACGAAGATTCGTCTGGGAGGCTCGGTATTGAAACACAAGCCACACTATTGGTCCGTAATTGAAAGGGGCTCAGGCCCGTCGATTTGTGGGGCGTTCCTCGATGGACCGCCAGGATGTGATCCACGATATCAGGCCAGGGTCTCGGATCCCGTGCCGCGATGTTTCGCCGCAGTGCAGTCTTAATCACCCTATTTGCGTTCTCTACCAGCCCGTTAGACTGTGACATGTGGGGTGCAGTATTTTGTATGGCGACGTCATGTATGACCAGGTTCCTCAAAACTTCTCCTCTGAATTCCGCCCCATGATCGGTCAGGATCTCCTCTGTGTCCTGATGCATTCCGAGAAAACGGTTGGCGTATCGCGTGATTTCAGCCACCTGTCGCGTACGACATGGATATGCCTCGATCCATTTTGAGAAATGGTCTACAAACACCAGTAGGATTGAATACTCACAACTTTTAGGTCTAGGGGGCACCACAATATCGGTAGTATCCATACTAACCCTCTGAAAGGGCGGTAGCCGGGCGCAGCGCGACCGGGAGCGCTGCGCCCCCGCTGGAGCACCGTCTGAGCGGACGCGGCTCGACGCAGGAGCTAATGGAGAGTCTGGCGACGCGGTGGGCGGGAGGGGACTGTGGGCGCGAAACTTGACAGCGGGAGGGTAGAGATGATGCGGCGCGACTTGGTGTGGCCTGCTTTTTGAAAGCACAGGTGGTGCCATCTCTGGCTTCACGCTTCACGTAGTGATTCTGTAGGCCAGAATGCTGGTTGAAGGGAAGTCTGCCTTTGAAAGGGGGTGGGTCTTTATGAGATTTTCGGCATATTGGTTGCTTTTTCTTCTCTGTCTGCGTAGGTTTGTGGAGGATGGTTGGGCCAGGTTGGCTGATGCAGGCTGAATGGAGGAGCGTGTCCTCACGCGGAGTGGGAGGAGGATTGCAGGCGGCATCGAGTCCGTGGTTTTTGAAGAAGGGCCAAGCGGTATTGGCGGCAGCTGCGTTTTCGTCACCTTGTTGATTGCGTCTTGAGAATGAGCTTGTTTTTTTTTTGGACAGTTCCTCCCGCTAATCATAACTGTATCAATGAAGATGATCTAATTAGGTTTTTTATTGTTGTCTTCTTTGCTTTGAATTCACTTGTTTGTTTTATCGAGGTTGTAATTTTGGATATTCTTGCTAAATGACGATGATCTGATTCAGTTTTCTGTGGCGGTTTCTTCTGATTATGGCTTCTTGATTTTTTTCTTAAACTTTTTGTGTCAAACAACTTTGCTACACGTTTCTCGATCTGATTTGAAAATCCTTTACGGATATCTAAACCTGAACTTCGTATAATTTTTCGTAAATGTTGTTACTTAGTAGCTTTCCTTATCATTGACTGTACGGTCTTGATTTTTTTCTTGATTTCGAGATTCTATTTCGGAATTTTTTTGGATACCTAAGCCTAAATCCGAATGCTTCCCTTAAATACACATGTTCTTTGGAAAGAATTTAGAGTGATTTTCTGAATTTTCGATTCGAAGTCCAAGAGGTGGGTCTTGGTTTTGACTTTCTTATTTCTGTTGAATAATCTGGAGAGATTTTATTTTCTTAAAACTTCGGCTCAAAATGAGCATGCATGGGAGTAGATGACTCTAATTTCTCGTTTTGGAATGGGTGGTGGTTTTTCAGGTTTATCCTTAGGGGCCGTCTCATATGGAGAGGGTTGGGATGGAGGGTGGGGGAACCACTATTCTGTGGGGACTGGCTTTTGGTGGGAACTAATCGTTCTTGAGGGGGTGGTTCGCTAGGGGGCTTGCCCTGAGTTGGGGTCAATAAGGGGAATGGGTCGCCCCTTGACGGGGGCAGCTCATGGACAAGAGGGAAGGTTTTTTCTGATTAGAAGTTAGGGCAAATTTATTTATCAGCACGATGGAGAGGTGTTGTCCTCTCTTTTCCCCTCTTCGTCGTGGAGAGAAGGGGTTACTGTGTTCGGGTTGTCCTCGGGGGACTTTCCCAACATGGAGAAGGTTGGAAGAGGGGTTGGGGGACCGTCGTTCTGCAGGGACATACTTTTGGTGGGAACTGGTTGTTCTTTAGGGAGCGGTGGTCAGTTAGGGTGCTTGTCCTGAGTTGAAGGGGGCTCCTCTCGACGGGGGCAACTCAAGGATAGGAGGGCAAAGGATTTTGGTAAGAATGAGGGCAATGTTATTCTCTTCACAGTGGAGAGGTGCTGTCTTCTCCTTTCCCCTCTGTGTTGTAGAAAGAACGGGAGGGTAGTTCCAAAGTTTTTTCTTGTACTCCTTTCAGAAGTCGTCAGAAGTCGTTTTGTAGCCAAAGTCGGGTAATAGCCCCGGCATCTCAATCGTTTTTCTTTTTGGAAAGAATTTAGACGGATTTTCTGAAATTTCGATTTAAATTTCTTATTTCATTTATCAATTTCGGTTCAAAATGAGCATGCAGGGGAGTAGATGATTCTAAATTCTCGTTTGGTAATGGGAGGTGGTGTTCAGGTTTGTCCTTAGGGGACCGTCCCATATGGAGAGGGTTGGGATGGAGGTTGCGGGAACCACTATTCTGCGGGGACTGGCTTTTGGTGGGAACTGCTCGTTCTTGAGGGAGTGGTGGTTCACTAGGGGGCTTGTCCTGTGTTGGGGTCAACAAGGGGAACGGGTCGCCCCTTGACGGGGGCAGCTCTTGGACAAGAGGGAAGGTTTTTTTTGATAAGAAGGTAGGGCAAATTCGTTTTTTGCACGATGGAGAGGTGCTGCCCTCTCTTTTCCCCTCTTCGTCGTGGAGTCACCGGGGAGGGATGAGGTGGTTTTAGGGTTGCCCTTGGGGGTCCTTTCCAACATGGAGAAGGTTGGAAGAGGGGTTGGGGGACCGTTGTTCTGTCAGAACAGGCTTTTTAGGGAGCGGTGGTCTGTTAGGGGGCTTGTCCTGAGTTGGGGTCGCTGAGGAGAAGGGGGCCCTATCGACGGGGGCAGCTCAAGGACAGGAGGGCGAGGGATTTTCGAAAGATCAAGGGCAATGCTAATTCTCTTCACAGCAGAAAGGTGTTGTCTTCTCCTTTCCCCTCTGTGTTGGGGAGAGAACAGGAGGGTAGTTCTAAAGTTTTTCTTCGACTCCTTTCCGAAATCCTCAGAAGTCGTTGGGGGGTTTCTAATTTTGGCTATTTCTGAAGTTTTCTACAGTAATTTTTTGAGTAAATCAATACTTCTTAGCCAAAAAAAAAAAAAAAAAAGTAGCTCCAATTTCTTAGAGCCAAAGCCGGGTAATGGCCCCGGTATCTCAATTTTCAAAATTCCATTCTTAGGCTAATTGGATTTTCTAGTAGGTTCCCAGTCTCATTTTCATGAAATTTTCTGATGAGTTTTCTGAACGTACTCGTTATGGGACGCTGGGCCCGGTTCCCAGTTTGTGTCAATTTGTGAGAAAATGGTTGTATCTATGGGACGCTGGACCCGGTTTCCAGCTGGTGCTGCTCCCCACCAATAGATGGAGCTTGTATTAAAAAAAACAAAACCCTCTGAAAGGGTCTTTCAACCATCGTCGGCACTATCGATCTCGGCGGCTGAACCGGCGCCTTGTCAGCAGCACAGACCTGACAATTTTGGACGATGAATTTAACATCGTCGCAGATATTGGACCAATACCACTCATTTTTGTCGATTGCTGCCTCCGTAATTCGGATGGCAAAATGGGCTTCAGTTTCCTCATGCGTCGTCTTAACCCAGTCATACCTCATGAACGGGTGCGGCACTACCATCCAAATCCCACTACCACCCGTCTCCCGTTTTTCTAACCGACCCTCGTTCCAACGATAGTCTCGAGCCCTTTCATTGGCCCTCCTCCGGTCCTCATTAGTGAAGTCCTGGAGGGGGTTACCTACCAAGGTGGCGATTAAAGCAATATTCATCCATACCTGGACCCTTCTAAATTTTCGGGTCTTTTCTAACCCTTCTGACGTGGCGTCGAGAAATCGAGCCTCGGTCGGGATTTTATTGACCCCACACAAGGGGCACAACCAAGGCTTGTTACCATTTCGATACCGAATGCAAGAGCCATGGGCTCTCGCGACACACTGCCGAGAGTCTACCCATTCGACATAACCTTCCCCACTATGATGGATAGGGACAGAGTAAACGTGTGAAATCGCTTCGCAAAAATAACAAAATTTATCTGGAAGAGAAAGAAGGGATGAGGACGAGAGGGGAGAGAGAGGAGTTGCAAGATTACCTCCGTCACCCATTGCCACGTGGGAGAACTGTCACTTGTTCGTACTTGGGTCGTTGATTCCGGTTCCTTCCACGAGATGATTTCTTCGCCTTTAGGTACCTCAGCTAGTCGATGCAGACGTGTCAACCCGTCCATGTTTCCGTACCTCTCCATCTTTCGATGGACGATATCGAATTCGTACTCCTGCAGGCGCACTGCCCAATGCCCAATCATGCCTGTGTAGTTAGTGAGCCTCTTCAAAGCCAGCAGCGGCTTGTGATCAGTTACTAGAAGAAACTTTTGTCCGTAAAGATACGGATGGAAGTGCTGAATTCCCCAGACCACCACATAGCATTCGCCCTGCGGGTCCGAATTTTTCTTTCATTCGTCTGGCACCGTTCGAGACGAGTACTCGATGACGTGTTCACGACCGTCGTTCCCCTTCTGCGTTAGGATAGCGGAAATCGCCTCCAGTTGCCAGTCCGTAATGAGAATGAACTGCTTTGTAGGGTCCGGCCAGATCAAAATAGGTGTTGTAGTCAGGGCGTCCTTGAGGGTGGCGAAGGCCTGCTCGCACTCGGCGTCCCAACTGAGAGGCTGTTCCTTTCGTAACAAGTTCGTTAGGGGCCGCACAATCGCGACGAACCCCTTGATGAATCGATGATAGTATGATGCCAGTCCCAAAAAAACTCGAACCTGCGTCAATGACGTGGGAACAGGGGCATTTTTCACCACCGCGACCTTCCTCGAATCCGGCGGCAGTCCTCCCCGTGTCACCACGTAGCCCAGGAACGAGATCTCCGAGAGGAAAAATTCGCTCTTCTCTAACGCGACCTTGAACCCAGCGTCTCTCAGAGCTCCCAACGTCCACTCAATGTGCTGTGCGTGTCCGTGATAGGTCTGTGAGTAGACCTGAATGTCGTCCATGTACACGATGACGCAGAAGTTTATCATCCCCTGAGTTAGCCGCGTCTTGTTGACGAAGTTCAGGAGGTCAAGTCCATAGCCCGTTGAAACGTAGCAGGCGCATTACAAATCCCCATCGGGCACCGAACCCACTGCCATGTGCCTTCGAATAGCACGAAGGCCGTTTTCGGTCGATCCTCCTCCTTGACCAGGATATGATGAAAGCCATGACGAATATCAAATTTACTAAAATAATTAGCACACCCA